CCTGACTTGAAAAACGATTGCAAGGAAACCCAACACATAAACACGATATCAGTCCTCGGCCATAGGCTCACACCATGAACTAAACAAGCTAACATCAGGAACAAACCGATAATCGATCCCCAAAGAGACAAGTCAACTGCTATTGCTGCGCAAAGGAGATGGAAAAGTTGTCCTGAGACTTGCAGCCACAGCACGCCGACGAATCAGATTTGAAAACGATTGTTGAGGCACAAAAATATCGATCGACCTCAGCCCTGGTCTACATATCGTTCCCACCCATAGACTCGCACCAAATCCAGAGCCATCTCAGGAAGAAACCAAACGTCGATCCCAAAACAGACAAGTCAACGGTTGTGGCTGCGCAAAGGAGATGGAAAAGTCTTTCTGAGACTTGCAGCCACAACACACCGGCGAATGTGACTTGATAAACGATTGTGAAGATAAATCAAATATAAACACGGTATCAGTCCTCGGCCGTAGGCTCACACCAGAAACTAAACAAGCCCATCTCAGGACCAAATCGAAAATTGATCACAAAAGAGACAAGTCAACTATTATTGCTGCGCAAAGGAGATGGAAAAGTCTTCCTAAGACTTGCAGCCACAACATGCCGACGAATCTGACTTGAAAAACGATTGTTAAGGCACAAAATTAACGATCGACCTCAGCCCTGGTCTACATATCATTCCCACCCATAGACTCGCACAAAAAAGCCAGAGCCATCTCAGGAAGAAACCGAAAATCAATCCCAAAAGAGATATGTTGACGGCAGTGTCTGCGCAAAGGAGATGGAAAGTCTTCCCAAGACTTGCAGCCACAGCACCCCGACGAATCAGATTTGAAAACGATTGTTGAGGCACATAATCAACGGTCGACCTCAGCCCTGGTCTGCATATCGTTCCCACCCATAGACTCGCACAACAAAAAATCAGAGCCATCTCCAGAAGAAACCAATCATCGATCCTAGACAAGTCATCGATTTTGGCTGCGCAAGGAGATGGAAAAGTCTTCCTTAGACTTGCAGCTACAACATGCCGACGAATCTGACTCGAAAAACGATTGTCATGGTAACCCAAATATGAACACGGTATCAGTCCTCCGCAATAGGCTCACCCCAGAAACTAAACAAGCTCGTCTCAGGACCAAGCCGAAAATCGATCCCCAAAGAGACAAGTCATCGATTGTGGCTGCGCAAAGTAGATGGCAAAGTCTTCCTAAGACTTGCAGCCGCAACACGACGACGAATCAGATTTGACAACGATTGTTAAAGAACAATATCAACGATCGACCTCAGCCCTGGTCTACATATCGTCCCACCCATAGACTCGCACCAGCAACAATACAGAGCCATTACAGGAAGAAACCAAACATCGGTCCTAAAACAGACAAGTCAACGGTTGTGGCTGCGCAAAGGAGATGGAAAAGTCTTCCTAAGACTTGCAGCCACAAGATGCCGACGAATCAGATTTGACAACGATTGCTGAGGTAAACAAAAAAAAACACGGTATCAGTCCTCAAAACTAGAGCCATTCCAGGAAGAAACCGATAATCGATCCCAAAACAGACAAGTCAACGGTTGTGGCTGCGCAAAGGAGATGGAAAAGTCTTCCTAAGACTTGCAGCCACAACACGCCGACGACTATGACTTGAAAAACGATTGTTAAGGCACAAAATTAACGATCGACCTCAGCCCTGGTCTACATATCGTTCCCACCCATAGACTCGCACAAAAAGGCCAGAGTCATCTCAGGAAGAAACCGAAAATCAATCCCAAAACAGACAAGTCAACGGTTGTGGCTGCGCAAAGGAGATGGAAAAGTCTTCCTAAGACTTGCAGCCACAACACGACGACGAATCAGATTTGAAAACGATTGTTAAAGAACAATATCAACGATCGACCTCAGCCCTGGTCTACATATCGTCCCACTCATAGACTCGCACCAGCAACAATACAGAGCCATTACAGGAAGAAACCAATCATCGATCCTAAAACAGACAAGTCAACGGTTGTGGCTGCGCAAAGGAGATGGAAAAGTCTTCCTAAGACTTGCAGCCACAGCACCCCGACGAATCAGATTTGACAACGATTGTTAAAGAACAATATCAACGATCGACCTCAGCCCTGGTCTACATATCGTCCCACCCATAGACTCGCACCAGCAACAATACAGAGCCATTACAGGAAGAAACCAAACATCGGTCCTAAAACAGACAAGTCAACGGTTGTGGCTGCGCAAAGGAGATGGAAAAGTCTTCCTAAGACTTGCAGCCACAAGATGCCGACGAATCAGATTTGACAACGATTGCTGAGGTAAACAAAAAAAAACACGGTATCAGTCCTCAAAACTAGAGCCATTCCAGGAAGAAACCGATAATCGATCCCAAAACAGACAAGTCAACGGTTGTGGCTGCGCAAAGGAGATGGAAAAGTCTTCCTGAGACTTTCAGCCACAAGATGCCGACGAATCAGATTTGAAAACGATTGTTAAAGAACAATATCGATCGACCTCAGCCCTGGTCTACATATCGTTCCCACCCATAGACTCGCACCAAATCCAGCGCCATCTCAGGAAGAAAGCGATAATCGATCCGAAAACACACAAGTCAACGGTTGTGGCTGCGCAAAGGAGATGGAAAAGTCTTCCTGAGACTTGCAGCCACAACACATCGGCGAATCTGACTTGATAAACGATTGTGAAGGTAAACCAACAAAAAACACGGTATCAGTCCTCGGCCGTAGGCTCACACCAGAAACTGAACAGCCCATCTCATGAAGAAACCAATCATCGATCCCAAAACAGACAAGTCAACGGTTGTGGCTGCGCAAAGGAGACGGAAAAGTCTTCCTGAGACTTTCAGCTACAACATGCCGACGAATCAGATTTGACAACGATTGCTGAGGTAAACAAAAAAAACACGGTATCAGTCCTCAAAACTAGAGCCATTCCAGGAAGAAACCGATAATCGATCCCAAAACAGACAAGTCAACGGTTGTGGCTGCGCAAAGGAGATGGAAAAGTCTTCCTAAGACTTGCAGCCACAACACGACGACGAATCAGATTTGAAAACGATTGTTAAAGAACAATATCAACGATCGACCTCAGCCCTGGTCTACATATCGTCCCACTCATAGACTCGCACCAGCAACAATACAGAGCCATTACAGGAAGAAACCAATCATCGATCCTAAAACAGACAAGTCAACGGTTGTGGCTGCGCAAAGGAGATGGAAAAGTCTTCCTAAGACTTGCAGCCACAACACGCCGACGAATCAGATTTGAAAACGATTGTTGAGACACAAAATGAGCAATCACGATCGACCTCAGCCCTGGTCTACATATCGAACTCACCGATAAACTCTCACCAGAAAAAAACCAGAGCCACCTCAGGAAGAAACCGAAAATCAATCCCAAAAAGATATGTCGACGGCTGTGTCTGCTGCGCAAAGGAGATGGAAAAGTCTTCCCAAGACTTGCAGCCACAGCATGCCGACGAATCAGGTTTGAAAACGATTGTTGACTACGTCGAGATTGTCGTATCTAATTCAAACAAACGCGGCTGTCTATCACTATCGCAACATTGGCCGGCGTCCTTTCGCAAATAAAAACAGCACATCAACACACGGGTTGGACACATACGCTTTGAGTCGCATCACTTCACAACAGGCCCGTAGGAATCTCTCCGCCCCCCCTCCCATACCTCCTTGGGCAATGCAAGGGCTCTGGCGCCGTTCCACCATTACGAATGCCCCTGACAACCCAAACAGCACATAATTTTCACACCTCAAACGACAACAGCTCGAATGCAACTAGTAACATCATCACATACATCCAGTATTGAGTGTACCAGCAGGCACGAGTTTTCACACTAAAAAAAACAACAACCACGCACACGTTCAGTTCTCATCTCTATCCTGACTGTTGCATATTGAGCGAGGGGCGGCTTGTGTTCGCCTGCAACTGTCGATTACGTCGAGCCAAAATCAACACACGTTTCGACACGACTGTATAGCTAGTATCGTTTTATCTAACATCGACCACTCTATGTGGACAGTGCTCTCTGCTTATTGCCAGATCTAGGCGGCACACAAAGGGTAGGTACAGCTCGTCACCCTAACTCCGCCTACTTCCGCTTTCATACAAACTTTATTTCCTTCGCGTGGAGCCGTCAGACACGCAAGGGGCAGTCAACACCCATCACGCCTCGTCCGTCCTTATTCCGGTAAAGTGGTTCCACGATGTGTACGGCAGACAGCGAGTGACTAGAAACGATGGCGTTGAGTAGCACGCTACCTTCTTCGTCCTGGTGCGACTGCAACACCCCCCAAGTATCAGTACCCCGTAGCTTCCCCACTCCAGTCTTACCTCTCCACCCACTGGCAAACATATCCAAGCTGGTGAATGCACAGGACGCCTGAACGACAAGACATGTACATCACGACAGACGACGGCAAGCAACGCAACTTCCAGACAAATGAAAAAAAACAAACAGTTAAAAACTCGAGTACTACGCTGCACTGCCCCACGCTCACAAATAAATCAATCCCAATATCATCGCATGCCTAGCCTGCCGCACCAAACTCGAGAGGGTACCACGGGAATCGCCACACGTCCACGATTCGCTCTTCACACTCATTCAGCAAAAGCACCCTCCGAGTACGTCTCGTCATCACTGTGAGCCTTGTCGCCTAACCCCCCAAGTGCTAGACGTTCTTGGTCGAATTCTGAGCTCTTGTCCACTCTACCCACTCCCCCCAGGCTCTCCACAGGGTGGAATACACCACACCATATAGGTCACGCCTTTCGTTGGAACACCTTCCACCAAGCGACGGGTGCACACCGTCGAAGCACGCCACCACAAACCACACTAACCTCGGCAACTCATGAATCTGTCCGTCGAACTCACACGCCGACAACTATTCCAGCGACAAGCACACCAATCGTAGACCTCTTCCCCATTCTCAACGAAATGCTTCTCCTTCCGACGAGGGGTACCCACCCTCACAGGGTCACGATTTCACCCGCTTTCCACATCTCCCTCAAGGAGAAGTGGTCCCACGCCGGCCTGGCGTCTCGCTCCCTCCTGACGTTGGAGAGGGCCGCCGAGCGGATCCTTTTCGACCGCCGCTTCCGTACATCGCCGAGGATTGCCCGGATCTCCGCCTCCCTCTTCTTCTTCTTCTCGTCGTTGAGCGCCATCATGGCCCGTCCCAGGTCTGCCCGCACCGCCACGTCGTCGCTGAACGCGGTCTCTTCTTCAACGAACGTCCGCTCCTCCAGGAACAAGAGCTGTTCCATGCAGGCAGCCAACGCAGCGTCCATCATCTCCGTCGCAGACGTACGAGGGGCAGCCTTCGACATCTTCTCCGTAAACTCGGCCAACGCGGTGCTGAGCCTGCCTTTCTCGTTGTCGCTGGTCGTCTCCGGAGAACGCGCCAGGCGGCTGTCGTCCACTGCTCTGTCGGCGATCTTGAGGGCCTGGATGGCCATCGCCAGGGCGTGATCGATGCCGTCGCTGGTGCTGGTGGATGGCGTACCCAGCACCGGGCTGACAGCCAAAGCCGAGGTCGAAAGCTTGGAGGGCGCTGATGTTGCCACTGCCACCGCCACCGCCGCCTTCGCCGCCTTCGCCGCCGCCGTTTCCCTTGCGTCCGCCGTTGTCGACGCCACCGAATCTGTTCTCGGTGTGGTGGGCCCCGATGTGGTGGATCCGGTCGTTACCGCCGAGAAGGTGCGGGAGTTGTTGAGGGCGGACGTCGGGGCCGGCGGCGGAGTCAGTGCCGTGATCTCCGATGTGGTGGATCCGGCCACAACCGCCGCTGCCACCGTCGCCGCCGCCACCGAGTCTGTGATTGGCCTTGAGACGAACGAGGGTGTCGCTGTCGTCGATGTAAACGGTGATGCCAGCGTCGAAGAGATGGACGGTGGGTGGGGGACGTTGGTGTCTGACGACGTGTCGGTAGCGATCGGTGGGGTGAGCCCGAAGGCGGGCATCGTCCCCGGGGCCGGAGGCGTCGTGGGCATCCTAGGGAGTGCCGCTCCCACATCGCTGGCACCAGTAGCGACATCCGAGGCGTCAGCGCCGGCGCCAACAGATGTCGACGGCATCGCCACACCAGGCGCGCCCGAGATTACTCCAGAAGAAGCTAGGAGTTCTAGGGTGTGGTCGTCGAAATCCGCCATGGGACACGAGGGAACAGAGCCCGGCTGGTCGGACACGGCGCTTGCGGCGGTCGTAGATGAGGTGGTGTCCACACCGAATTGCCTCTGAGTGCTTCCTGCGGTAGTAGCGGGGCCGGGCCCCTCGCTGGTGGATGGCGTACCCGACACCGGGCTGACAGCGAAAGCCGAGCTCGAAAGCTTCGAAGGCGCTGATGTTGCCATCGCTACCGCCGCCGCCGCTGCCTTCGCCGCTGCCACTGTTGCCTTCGCCGCCACTGCCGTCGGCGCCACCAAATCTGTGCTCGGGCTGAGGGTGAACGAAGGTGTCGCTGTCGTCACAGTAAACGGTGCTGCCGGCGTCGAAAAAATAGTCGGTGGGGTGGTGAGGTTGTTGCTGTTGTAGGCAGTGTCGGGAGAGTTCACTTGGTCGTCCATCGCCGTCAGAGATGGTGGTGACTGGTCGGTGAGCACGACCGACGACGCCCTTCCCAAGAAGGCGCCAGGGTTGTTGAGGGCGGAGGTCGGGGCCGGCGGCGGTGTCGGTGTGGTGAGCTCCGATGTGGTGGATCCGGCCACAACCGCCGCTGCCACCATCGCCGCCGCCGCCGCCGCCGCGTTCGCCGCCACTGCCGTCGACGCCACCGAGTCTGTGATTGGCCTTGAGACGAACGAGGGTGTCGCTGTCGTCGATGTAAACGGTGCTGCCAGCGTCGAAGAGATGGACGGTGGGTGGGGGACGTTGGTGTCTGACGACGTGTCGGTAGCGATCGGTGGGGTGAGCCCGAAGGCGGGCATCGTCCCCGGGGCCGGAGGCGTCGCGGGCATCCTAGGGAGTGCCGCTCCCACATCGCTGGCACCAGTAGCGACATCCGAGGCGTCAGCGCCGGCGCCAACAGATGTCGACGGCATCGCCACACCAGGCGCGCCCGAGATTACTCCAGAAGAAGCTAGGAGTTCTAGGGTGTGGTCGTCGAAATCCGCCATGGGACACGAGGGAACAGAGCCCGGCTGGTCGGACACGGCGCTTGCGGCGGTCGTAGATGAGGTGGTGTCCAGACCGAACAAGATTTCGCCGGAGAAGTCGTCTGCGGCGGTGAGAAGAAGGAATCATTCAATCAGGGTGGTGGTATACGACCGCCCGTCACGTGTGCGCTTGTACAAACATAGTGGAAGAGGGAGAAAATGCAGGACGAGACACCCTCCGTGACCAAGGAAAAGCGCTACACGTACCAGTTGGTACGAAACTAAAATGAGACACGTATTGATTTTTAGCGATCATCATTCCTGCAACATACTGGCGTTGTGAGAGACCTTTTACTCACGCCAGGCGTAAATTGCGAAAGACGAACGGAGCAGAGCACTAACACCACCACCACCAACACGTAGAGTTGCAGATGAATCTCAACCAGTAAACAACAACTCCTCGTGAGAATCCCGTGTGGGAATGATGTTGATTGAGCGCGTTTAGTGGCGGGCATCTACGTGTTCTCTCTAGAATATAAATCCCCGATTCCAAGCTCCTGCCTCCACTGTCAAAGCGACGCCTTGTTGACAGAGTGCTTTCCATTCTGGTGCGCAAGAACGTCACCTTAATGGTATGTATAGCTATCATTACCTTCAAGGAAGGCAGCCATCAGGTCTGCGTCTTCTGGGCTCCAGCCCTCGTCGTCAAGGTCGTGGAGCCCGCCACCCAGGAGTTCCCCCAACTCCGCATCATCTCCTCCCGGGTAATTTCTTGCGGGCGCGGCCATCGATCTCGCGGAGGGCGGCGAGGGTGGCGCCGTGACTGTGCCCGACGGGGAAGAGAACGGTCCTACCGCGTAGGGGCCCTGCAGTCGGTATAGAGAGGTATATAGTTTCGAGGCAAAGTAGATCGGCGGGATGGCGTCAGATACAGGCGAAGTTTGACCCGGTGCTGCTGTGGTTTGATCGGGGGAGGTAGAGGTGGTGACGTACAGTGTCTCTGCCCGGACACAGCTCAATTCAATCAGGATTCGGCCATGCACATGTTTCTTGCCGAGTACATGGCTAATCTCTTGGTTCTGTCAGTACCCAAGAGGCCTCTCTCTCTGAGTTTCTCCGTCTCCCTTGAGTTGGTCGGATCGGTGGGGAAGGAGTCGTCGAAACAGCGTCGTGCGATTCCGCCCCCGGTAGGAGGAGGGGGTCTTCACAGCTTCACAGTGCAATTGGAGAGACATAGCCCACGACGAGAGACGACGAGAACCCGAAAACCGGAACGTCACGCCTATCGTATCATACCTCCAGAACACGCAGATTTCTTCTCAACGTGTGCTGCCTGTCGGTCCCTTGGAAATTATTGTGGTCATGCAAGTGCTGCTGATTGATTCTCGCGTCTTATCCCCCCCCGATAAAGTGGACTCTGTGTTCGCATTGAATTTAGAGCGGCCCAAGGGTTGATCGAACTACAAAGGAGCGGGAGAAAACAAAATTCCGCCATCTACCATTCCTATCCACCGCTTCAATCGGGCGGGCAGCGCCTTGCTTTAAAACCCGCCTTTCGGAGAACATGTTATGACAGCACTGGACCATGCTACAGTGCTGTGGTTCTGTTCTCGTCTCACCTTCGCCATGGGCGAGCCGTAAGATTCACGCGTGTTGTCGTTGTTGTCGTTCCCGTTGTTGCCGTTGATAGCGGTATTGTTGGTGTTGGTGTTGGTGTTGGTGTTGGTGTTGCTGCTGGTGGAGGGGCTGGTGGTGGTGACGTTGTTGTTGTTGTAGTCGGTGGTCTTCTTAGTTTTCTTGTTCTTGCTGTTTTTGTTTTTGTTGCTGTTGTTGTTGTTGTTGTTGTTGCCGAGGTCCGTCGACAGATCTTGGTGGGTGGAAGGCCCGATCATCGCGACGTGTCCGCCGAGAGAGGCAGACCTGAAACAGCCAAGGATGAATCAGCCGAGCAACAGGGAAGGAACGGGGGTGGTACTGGTGAGCAGCAGTGCCTTGGTTGTTGCCGCAGATCGTCGTCAGAAATCACTCAACTTAATGCACAGATAGGGCAAAAAATAAAAGGAAGGAGCACCGTCATGGTTTCCCTTGCATCTCCCTTTGAAATGACTCTACATGTATCGTGCTCAAACTCTGCAGAATGCCGGGTCAAATAGGAAGTATTCATTAATTGCTGTTCAGCCTGTCTTTGTTACACTCTTGTCCCGGCCCGCGCACAGGATAGATACTACACCCAATAGAAGGCGATACAAAATACGTCAAGATACTACGCACAAATATACTGCCGCTGTGGTCATCAAGGGCCACGTACCTACAGACACAAGGCATCAACGAGGCGACATAATACAGTCGATTCTTGCAACAATATCCTGGAACAGCAATCAGTTTCCATGTAAAACGATTTGTAACGGAGGAGGTAGTTCCTGCAACCTAAAAGTTATCGAGCTCTCCATGGACTCTCGTAAAAATCAAAATGCCCACGCGTTTGTCAAGTTTGACCTTCAGAGTTTGCATGCCGGCAGATGGACCCTTACCTCTATTGTATGAATTACATTAGTTCAGTAGAGTATTGTTTTTTTTTTTCGCTTTCGTTGGCTAGATGGTCAGGGGGGTCCCAGTGGCCTTGAGACCCGAGATTTCTGGCGATAATAATCAAACTCCTTCCGCAGGCGTCGTGACGGGAGGATCCAAAACGCCGAGGTAGATGTAGTCCGCTACACCGAGGGCACGCGGGCTTTCTCCGTTGAGAACTGGGCAAGACAGATAGGGTCTAGAATGGTATTGGGCAGGACGGTGCCAACACAACACATATTATATCCGTCCGCTCATCATGTAAAAAAACTGGCCTGTGGAAGATTGCAATTCACCGCCGGTGATGCTGTCTGGCACTCGTTCATATATACTCCGAGTAACTACTTCGTAGTTTGTTTGAACTTGAGTCTCCCCTCTTCTGGGCAAGACGATCTCGACCAGACACCGTGAGCGTGATGGTAACCCCCGCTTTTCTCCCAAACACGAGAATTGATTGATAAACGTTGCCAACACAAATTGCACCGCACTTTTGGTCGGAACCACGGAACACGGGGAGACATCCATGGAAAATCGAAGGCCCTTCCGGGGCATTCTTACACAGCAAGCGGATGTGTGATGGCTATGTACCACCTACCACCTCTACCATATCAGCGTGCGTTTGGATTTCGAGTGCGGCGACCATTTCACGCCGGGTGGCGTTGGGTGACGCGCCAATTCGCATTGTGAACCCTCTTGGAGATGAAACGATGCTATTGTGGGTGACACTGAATGAACTGACTAATAACTGGTACACTGTGTGACAACAACTTTCCAGTGTCAACATGGATGGATGGATGGGTAAATCTCACATTGAAAGTCCGCACAGACGCACAGCCGGGCGCGAGGCCGGTACTCCGCTGTTACTACTACCGCTGCTGCTGCTACCGCTGCTGTACACACGCACACGGTTTTGTAAGTTCCAAGCGTTACGGCTTTGGGGCGGACAACGGTCCGCCCTGGCCAGCTTCCTTTTTTTCTCCGCTTGGTTGGATGCCATGCAGCACGTTCTAGTTTGTACATGTCTCCCGATTCTTCCTCCGCCATGCATGGTTGTCACTCCCCGCGAGGGTCTCAACCAGTGGACGCTAGGATACCACCTTCCACTGGTGGATTGAGCCAACTGTACACAAAGCTGCGGCAGATAGGGGATTGAACCACAGGACGGCCGCTATCAACTCGAGATGTCCCGAGCCCCACAGCGCCTGCCTGCAGGAAGATCTGGATTGATAGATTAAGACAGCACCCACACTCACATCGCGGGCGAAGCAGAGATAGAAGCTGTCCAATCACTGGCTGAAGCCGGCGAGGTGCTCCGTTGTCTCTTCTTCGTCCTGTACGATCAGGTATTGCCGGTTGCTGGGTAGAATTTACTGCTTAGGTCGTGGGGGAGCAGAGGCTGGAGAGCACGAAAAAAGGGGGCGACGCGAGTGAATATTATACAGATGCAGTGTTACCGAAAAATAGCGGTTTACAGGGGGTGGGGGGGGGGCATTCAATTGCACACTCACACATACATGTAGAGGGTAGTCCTGGACAGAACATCTGTGTCGCTGGCTGTACATAAACGTACATAGCGTACTGTGCGCGTTGGCAGATACGTAATCATAATTTATTTGTGGCTTCTCTTCTTACTTCATTCATATCCGAGACGACGCTAAATCAACGAACATTAGCATGGATCGTGTGCGGCGGCACTCTACTGGAGCCCAGGATGATGATTAAGGGTACAGGGTTACGCTGTCATTACAACAGTGTAGAAAAGCGTGCAACAGTAACTGCTGTGTGAGGTCGACCGGAACTACAGACTGTGCCTATCTTCAGGCGACACTACACACTACTAACAACTGTCTTCACGGGTGTGTAACTTGGAACATTTTTTTGCTATTATCGTTGCAAGGTTCCCCTTCGGAACGTGGGTGTCAAGTCTCCCGAGGGTGACGAAAGATGTCATGCTTTTTGTGTGTGTGGTTGGTTGGCTAGTGCGCATTTCCATATAACAACGCATGTAGTATGTGTGCTATGGGAGTAAGGCCGTGCGGACAACATAACTCGCCCGCGAGATGAAAAAAATACGAGGAAACATACATACATGTAGTCTTCGCATCAGATTCCCGTTGTAGTTAAAAATCCGAAACACCAGCAGCAGAGGCGAGAGCCCGCGCTTCAAGAAGTAAGATGGATTTCAACAACCACTGCTGCTGTGGGTGCATGCGTCCAGACTTGTCTTCAACGTATATGTTCATTTGCTGTGCCCACTGCGAACTGGACAGAAGAGTACAGCACTAGGCGAGAAATTATGCTGTTGGACGTTGCCTTGACACTGTGAGTTTCTATGGTGACCCTCAGTGACAGCATCATCAGAAATGACGAGATTAGGTTACAATAGAGACAGATTGTAATTTGTATTCGCTCGAAAACGAATTTCCCAAGACAAACTGCAAGCAGAGGTGCAGAAGCCACTCCGCGAGGGTTGACCAAGCAAGATGGGTGGGAATCGAATCGATTGAAATTCCTTGGTCAGGGCCCGTCGAGGCGTAGGTCGGGCGAAGGCACCGCCCCGATCTCGTGCGCGCAGCTTCCGCGAGCTGAGCGAAGTTGAACACGGTAAGAAAGTGTGGACAAGATTTCTTAGAAGTGTTCCTTTCTTTGGGGCAGAAACCAAACTCACTCGCATCGGTGCGGTTCTCATCTCTCTGCAGAACTCCAACCTTCCGCACTAGACTAAGCCGAACGTACGAGTGGAAGGGATACAGTTCATCGTCGGAAACAAGCTAAACGAACTTGTGACTACACGACGAGACGTGAAAGGCCTATTATGAAGGCCAACATCATCACTGCCTGTGGTACGAGTTATAGTCTAGCCCATGTCTACAAATAGCAGCTCAGACGGCCACGCGGTAAGGTGGGGCTGGAAAAGAACGTTCTCGGGGAAGACAACAATGCGCTCTGGTAAATAATAAGAGGTGGGCTAAAAGAAAAACGTGAACAACCTGTGTATCGTCGAACTCGTGTTCATGCTACGCACAACATCCGTGCTTTGCGTGCACTGGTAAAAAATAGCACGTGAGGTTGTCACCGCAGGTCAAGTTTTTTCTGAACAAAGACTACAACATCGATGACCCGAAGAAGTCAGCCAGGAACCGATCAACTTTGCGGTCCGATTCGTCCCGCAAGATCTGCAGAGGGTTTGGCCAGATACAGTCCTATTTACTCCCTCTTGGCTTCTCATTGCTCCTCTTGTGTGCGTGTCCAAATTGTTACCCCACTCGGTCGGCGCCGAAAGGCCAGCATTGACGATTTGCCGAGGATGAGGCCGTACGGTCGGCCGTTGGAGTCTTGCCGCTCGTCAAAGGGGAGATGCCGGTACTTCTGGGCCACCACCCGCAGAAACCCTTGTTGTGGAAAGGAATCCGAGCTTTGTCAGCATGAAATTCCCGATGACCTGATAGTGGGTCTCAGCATGCATTCAACACCTGACCGCGATTTAACACGGGGGAGTCCCGCCCGTCAATCAGGACTCGAGGCATTCCCCTTCCACCCCGCCTCCCTTGATGAGCCTGGAGGCACGTGGACATGACACGGAAAGCAGTTAAATCACATGGTGGGAGTGGTTGTCAAACGCGACATCGTCAACGTCCACTTCACAGGATGTGCAAATGTTTGCTCACTCAAGAAGATGTTCTCAACCCACGCCCGTCGGTGCTGGATGCACCAGCATAGCACACACGAAAATCGGGTTTGACACGATATCTTGAACCGAATTGTAGGCCTATGTGTCCTACTCGCAACTGCTCCTACTTCGGGACGATTTTGGTCGGTTGGGCAAACGTTATCTGCTGCTGTTGTCCAATGTACATAAGCAAAACGGCGTTGATTGCGCAGGGGTTTCAGACGAGGAGGCGTGAAGGCTGACCCAAGAGCGGCGGTTTGATTTACAAAACCGTGATAATTTTCTTTCGAATGACCGCGATTCACAGTGCTAAAGGGCCTACCTGTGCTTGGCTGATCATCACGGGATATGCACGTGGCAAAATCCACAAACGCGGTGGCGAATCTTGCC